CCTATGAGTTTTTGTATTTTCTTCATGAAAAACGATCTCAATAGCTAAAACATACATTTTACTCTGTGAAAAACGTGTTCTAACAATGTCGTACTAATAATTCTCGTACATTTCAGAGCAAAATTTAACGTGTCACAAAGGTGGCGTAATTTTGCGACTTTTATACTAAATTTCTCTATAGTTATTAAAGATTCTGATAAAATAAATTGGTTTAGAAAAGGAGCTGACCTATATTTTGTTATAGGTCTTTTTGCCTTTAAAAAAGTGACCGGCCAGTCTAGAAAAAATCTCAAATTCCTTGTCAAAGTTAGTTTATACATTTAAAAAATGAACGTAGTTAAACGGTTGTTGTACACATAAATTCAATTTAAAAACGGGTCACTTTCATTTTTGACAAAGATACCCAAATCTTTTTCTAACCAGCCTAGGGTGAATTGCAGACGAATTTTGCGGCGGTCGAGTGAAAGGTGTGAGTTGGATTTCCGCAAAACAGGTAGAGTGCTGGTATCTTTGGACCACCGGATGGGTCGAGCGACTGGCGGATGGTGCTTAGGCGACGAGCCACAAAGGGAGGCACACGGTCACTACCTTCTGTAGATAGCTTCCCGCGAAACGTAGGGAAAACCCTTGACGTGTACAACTGAAAATAAAAACAACACTTTTCGCACAACAACTGGCGATGACATCCCGCATTGAAAGATTAAATGTGGCAAATTGAGATTTATAATAATAATTTTTTTTTCGATTCTTCGATTTTTTCGATGACGGCAGCCAACAAAAGCAAAAGTCTAATAATATTAATTCAAATAGTTTTTTTGCAACTAGCTGAACTACCCTGCGTAGCTCGGTTATTTATAAATCATAATTATGTATTTTTCATTAAGAAAAGGAATGGATTATTTGTATTGTGTATTCCTGTCGAACTCTGCCCTGCCACTTTTACCTTCCGAGCCTAATTGCGGTGTTTGGATGAATACAAATGTATTTAGTAGGAATTTGTATGTGATTTAAGAATCCTGCAAATAATTTTGGTGGATTTATTCACTGTCTTCAAGATATTAGCAAAAATCGGAAAGACTGCACCGTTAAATTTTGCTCTGAAGAGTAGGAAAGGGGGATTGGAGTACGTTTTATAAAATCTCATACAGACAGTAACTTTTCTATTGATTCGAAGGTCACGAGTATAACACTTCATTATGATAAGAAGCACACTGTAAATTTGTATGAAAACACAAACAAAAAATTTGCCTCTACTGGACCGGAAAGGGTCTATCCTTGAGTGATGGATGGACGGACGCAGGTTCCGTAATCTTATCAAATCGCTGCCGTCCTAACAGAGTATCAAATTTTATCGTTACATACTTTTACACATTTAGTTCTATTATACATATTTTGCAAATTTCACAATTTGTTTGAAAGTTTTATGAAAATGAAATGTTATGAAAATAAATATCTTCACAAAATCAGATTTTTTCCTAAATTAATATTGAGTGTTCGAGATGCACGTCGGGAAGAGCTGTCGAATATTCTTACAGTCCGGCGCGCCAGCTCCAATTAACTCAGTGGCGGGAAGTGGGCGTCAGCAACCGAGATTATTTTCAACTTTAGGGGTGAAATTGACGCCGGGTTTCGTGATCTTTAACCTTAATATCCGAGAACCTTCGGCGATCGCCGACGGGTAACACTTCGATGAGAATGCTGCACGCTGCATTGAATACTACTGGTTGAAGATATTGCCAGCTTATACGAGAACTTCTATTGTGTCTAGTCTGGCTGCTAAACTACCGTCCTGGAGTACAATAGACGAAGCTTTTATTACTGAATGGTAAATTGTATGGTGCAATGGATACATCAACTTGTGCTCTTCAAATATTTTTTTAGCTTTTGTATTATTTTTAAAAGTTATTTAGGAATTTTTTTGATAAATGCAATTTGATATTGGGTAAATGTGTTTTAGTGTATTTTAATATTTCATATTAAATCCGATTCTACATATTTATTACATATTCTCACTGTTTTCCCTGCATATTTATGTACATGTTTTGACGTTTTATACTACATATTTTTCCGCTCTCAAGATCACAGTGCGACGGCGACGCCAGGCCACGCTGCGTGGAGCCTACACCCTCCTCCCCGAGTGACTGCCCACCCTGACGCCCACAATTCGCAGCCGGCTGGTCACTCGAGAAGCGGTCTTCCCGATAATTCAATGTCCGGTGTACGTTCGTTCTGTGCAGGCGCGATGAAATTTTCTTTGGTGTAAAAATATATATGAATAGAAAACATTCTTTCGATAAAATTCTACCATCTATTAACTTTAACGCAATAAAGAATTTTTTAAGTTAAGTCACGATCGAATACTTCAGTCGTGGGTTATAACCTCCCTGATCACCTGACCTAAATCTCTATTGAAGGATATTGAGGAGAAAATCGTCGCAATCCCGCATGATTTCAATCAAACAGTAAATCAAAATATACTCTAGTAGAGCCTAGAATGCATTCGAGCTGATGGACACCACTTTCAGCATCTCTACAACAACTGTTTTAATTAAACTTATTTACAAGCTGATAATACATTTGAACAATCAGTACATTTGTGGACTTTAATGAGCATGGATTAAATAAGGTTCCAATTTATATCTCTCCGTTAATACAGTTGATACACGTACTATCACCACACTTCAAAATCTGTACGTCAAATCTAGAGACTTGAACTATGTAAGAATTCTTATTTCGAATTATTTGCCACAAAAACCATTCCCGGCGAAAAGAAAAAAAAATACATGAGTCACTTTTCTTGTGCACTGATGATGTATAAAAATAAACGTCTAAAAGAATTTGGATTGCTATTATGCTAGAATATATTATTAGGAGCATTTCATGACTTAAAACTACGCAGAAATGCGCTAACAATTACTCCAAAAAATATTTTAAAAACGCATCTACAAAATAATATAACGCATAATCACTTTGTGACGTTTACATTGCTAAATAATATTCTTTGTTCAGCTAAGTCAATTATTACTTGAATAAAACGATAAGAATGTATTAAAAAAAATGAATCTCAGTTTAGATTCAACATTAATTCAAGATTCAATATTAATATTATACCAGTATGTAGTTGGAGTCAGTTACTATGTACAAACATACAAATTTTTTTTATCCATCAAGTTTTGCGTTACAGTATCCAAATTTTTTTTATAGATTTTTAGTAATTGACGACTGTCAAGTTTTTTACCATTGTCAACTGACATTTAAAAATCTGAAAATCATTTATTCTAAATTGGCATTGTCTTTAAATGAAAATTTATCTCCATACAAAACAACATGAATAATCAATTGACCTGCCCATAAATATTTCTGGCAAGTTCTACTGATGTCAAGTCACCAAGGGATGAAATAGAAAGAAAACACCCAAAATGTCAATTTCTCCTTTTAATATGAACATAATCAAAAAGTCAAAACGAATACATTTCAAAAGACATTGTACAATTTGTTAATACCGAAGCAGAAGTGTTTCTGAAAAAGGAGATTTAAAAAAATGCCTTAAATATTACGTAATACAGTAGAAAATTGGATAAACAAACGCAATATGCTATTAATAAATTTGTAATAGGCATTTACTTATGAGTGCATAAGGGCGGGCGTGTGACCTCCCTAATAATTCTGAACGGGTCAAAACAGTTTATTTACTTACATATATTAAATCCCTGATTTCCCCCTTTTTTACATGTCAATTTAAGACATTTTTACAAAAATTCGCAGAATTTAGAAGAATACCATGCAGACTTCAATCATATGAGAAATATTTATGGTTTCATTGGATACCCAAGAATTAGTGGGGGGGAAAAGTTTCGATTTTGCCTTAAAAATGCTATTTTTATTGTGTTATTCCGCCTATTCGCACACTGTGCGTATTGACTGAATTTTCGTATTCAGTGCGTCACTGCGACAGCAAGGCTCCAGGGAAGACGCCGCCCGCCATTAAACATTTGCTATTTACTAGATGTGTTATGGAACTGCAACTTATTTGATATACTTGGTAGGTAGAGATTGTTGAATTGGTATCTATGTACTACACTTCACTGTTATTGCAGTATTAGTGAATACTGTTTTTGTTGAAATATTTAATTTCTTGTAGTGTTATACGACAGTTTATTTGTTGCTTTTCAGCAACGTGCATGCTACTTTTTGAAAAACCATTTTGTATGATTTTGTTCAGTAGCATTTTTAATGCCGCTGGCCGCTGGTGGTAAAAAATAATTGAATTTATTAATTGAAACATCCAAGTTATAATTTTATTCTCCTTACAGTATGTTTTATTCATTCAGTATTTACTAGTAAAATATGTTTTACCATAACAATCTTGGGTCTTGTTTTAGGCTGAGAATGCTTGTGAATTTACTTGCGTTACATACCTCATTTAGAATTAAAATAGAGTCGCCGTTGTTACAGAACAATTGAATTGAAATCTGTTCTTTTCTTTAGCAGGTGCGGATTCACGGGGAGGAAAATGAGGGAAATTTTCCCACTTAAAATTTTTTTGTAACTCAATTTTAACTTGTCACGAAACTTTCAAGAACAAATATTTACGGATACTTATTAAAACGAATAAAATCGTATCACAGCATGAGCTGAGTGTAGCATGAGCCTGCGACATTTTACAAGATCACCTTCGACCAAAATATTTGTAATTTCCCCTCCCAAAATTTGTTTCTGGATCCGCCCCTGCTTATGTCATGAAACCAATTGTGAATAGTTAAAAAAAATCAAAATGATATTACAGAGACGAAATTGAATACGGGATTATTAAGAAATATTTTAAAATAATAGTTATTGTATAAAATTACATTAGCAACAAAATCAAATATTAGAATTTGTATTTCATTTGCTAGAGACATCTGTATTTTCCGAAATGCTCTACGATGATTGGTCGTAACTTACCGGGCATGCAACTAACTGGGGAGAGGGGAGGGGGTTTGGTAGGGCCTTCATCCGCCAGTCCACCGCCATCTGCTGAAACAGTGGTTCTGCCGGTGTGCTGTAGGGCGGAACACTTTCGAAGCAATACTATAAGGCGCGAGAATTTCTTCGTGGGTAGTTTGCGACTGTTTGTGTTAGTAACTGTACTGTCTTCCGTGTAGTGCCAGCGGGAAAATGGACGTGCGTGCTTGCTGGAACGGTCGAGGTCTTGGTTGGTCGCATGCTATGTGCATCGAAGGGTGTATTTGCGACCGACCACACTATGTTGTGTTGTGCCACTGTTGCGGATTTCATTGTATGGGGCGATTGCAAATTCAGTGCAAGAGTCATCCAAACGTAAGTTGTCACATTTTAATCTATGAACAGATATATTAGGGAAAGTAACGTGTAGTTGTCGAGCTGTGTTGGAGTACGTATTTCTAGTTTTCTAAAACCCAACTCATTTTTTTTATTGTTATTAAAGTTAAAATTATTTTCTTCTTGCAGGTGAAATTCCTTATGGACATCGACCACTGCCCGAAATGCAAGGCTCAACAGTTTATGATGAGCGAGTGTTGTGTCGAAGATTTTCCAAGGTAAAATAATTTTTCATGTTATGTTTATTTGGATGTTAATATATGTAAATAATTACTATAGGCTAATGAACATATGTGCAGCAATATGTATGACATTTTACGCTCTATTAGCAGCGCGGTAAATTTCCTTTTTTGACAAATGTTGCAAGCGTGTACCGTTACTTCAGTCTTCAGGAATTTACTGACATGTGAAACATGTAGCGTTCTTAATTACGGGGCAGTACAGAATAGTAAATAAAACTTGCGCGTAGGTTTGCCTTTGAGTTAATGAACTTTCGTACAAAACGTTTAACATCGATTAGGACTTTCTCTCCACAGGCAAATCGCCGTCGACCAGGGGAAAACTAAAACTCCAAATTTCTCATTGAGTAGTGGAAATACTGGTTTGTTTCGAAAACTCTGATATGAAGCTTTATGTAGTCTTCCTAACGTAAGCATGTATTTTGTATTTTCTTTAATTGTGTAATTTATTTTTTATACCATAAACAACTTTCGTTGCAGGAGATGATTCATACGACGCACAAATTGTCACGAATGATTACATCATACATTCAGTTAAAAACCGCGTGATAATCGTTAGGAGGTACGTTTAAGAAGCGTTAAGAGCAGAAATAACGCGTGCGCCGTAGGCGTAACCTTTTTTGTAGGTCTTCGTAGGCCTTTTTCCCTTGACCCTCCCCGTATAGGAAACTGAGGGAGCCAAGACCGCTCAGGCTTTCATGATCAGTTTTGAATTGTTTTGTTGTGCTTTTCGAATTGTTTTGTCGTTACCGGTATTCTAATGGTCAACACTTGACAGATTCAAATTTTAAATTATCTACTTATAAAGAATGATAAAAACCGAATTTGTTTGAACAATAAAGGTTCGGACAATAAATTGGGTGGTCCAGACGTTTTAGTGCAGTGACACTAAAAACTATGGTGTCAGCAACAAAAATGTAAATACATTATGGTAAAATTGCTGGGAAAATGCAATAGCAGCAGTGTATTAATTAATGACTTGTCTGCCTGCTGTAGGAAAGGTGTCATTGCACGATTGTGCAACGTCGCCTGTGGTGCCACTTCACGCGGGTAATACGGCTTGTATCGAACTAGGGTATCACGTAAAGGTCTTAAGTCACGTTGTGTTGATTGGTATTAATATAAATTTTCGTATTTAAACATTTAAAAATTACACAGAATTATTTACTATGGAATGTGAAGTTGTTAGAAGTTACGCAATTTGCAGAAAAAGTTTCATGAAGACCACGGAAGAACTTCAGTTCTTGCTGCACGCGTCGAAAACCTTGAATACAAACGTTTCAATGCTAAGAATCACAATGAAATATGTCAACTTGTAAAATAAATGTTTTAAGAAATCGGCAGTGAACTAAAAAAAAATTCTACTTTTATTCATTTGTCAGGGAATTCTTGCCCGTGAATTAAATTCAGTTCCTTTAGTCTTTTTTTTCTTTCTTTTCCATCCTAATGTACCCTATCGTGGACAAGTGTGCTGAAGCACTTCCAAAACAATGCATGAAAATTCTTAACTACACAGAAATATTTTGCACATTTCGGTGAAGAATTAAAAAATTACGGGTTTGCCAGGAAGAAAAAGTTCAAAATGTTCTTCTTGCAAGATTGTCAGTTTGCAGAGTAAGGGCCAAATGCTAAAGTTCAAAGAAAGTATTATTGCCTGGGAAGTGCTGATGGATCCTGTGACAAGAGTAGAACTGGTGCCCACTATGGTTTCACAAGACCTCAGGAGTAGTCTATGCTACAACACTTCTTTCACTCCCATGGCCCAAAATCGCATACACGCTGTACAATAATTTTTTTGGAGTAATAGATTAAAAATATGCCACCACTAGAGCTAATGTATTCAAATTTTGTAATTAAAATTAATTTAGGAACTTTTTCAGTGGTTAAAATTTTTTCTTCTGGATTTTGTTTCAGACCTGCTGATTTATTCCCCCCAGTCATCAAAAACAAATCAGCAACATTTGAAAATTGTCCATGTAACGCAAATAAAAAGTGCCAAGTTCATCAAAATTCACTATAACCAGTTGGTGTAACATTGGATCAATAGAACATCTTATTCTTTTTTCTCTGTAGAATGCCAGGCTGGTTTTGTTAATGCAACCAAAACAATAGAAGATTATTATGAAAAATTGCACAATCGTGACTTATCTTAAATGCAAAATAATACTCTTGTTACATGCGGGTTTAGGTCTACAGTTATTTTAACCTTCCCTAGAGCACCACAGCACTAGCGGCACAACCAAGAGCCCACAATTTTGTAAAACAAAATTGTTTACTGAAACAACTTCAGTTAAGATGTTTTGGTTGATCTGAATTCAGATAATCGATGTACTACCATAATTTTATTTTTGTTTAAGTATTTTAATTTTTTTAATCCTAATGGTGCTACATTACTAATTGAAAGATAGTTTCATTGTGTTCATTGTAGTATAGAAAGCCATTGTAATGTTAACTCCATGTGGAAAATTGAATAAATAATGTACATTTTCTTTGTATTTAACTGTAGAAGTTAATGATCATTTTACATTTTTTGTATTACTTGCAGGTAACTTTTGCACTATGATTTGAATGCTTTTTTTGCCACTTTGTAAACAATTAGTACATTAAAATGTTCAATAAATCTTGTGTAATTGATTTCATCCTGAATTCGATATCATGACTACTCTGAAGTTAGAAAAGTAGTATTTAGCATTACTGTTATTACAAATAATGCTCCAAATTTCCTTGTTTAAACCTTGAAAAATTATTTTCCAACAGTGTCTATTGCATATAGGTAAACAAAGGCTGAGACTGGTATTGGCAACATTTGCATATTGTAGCACTTAATGTATTCCTTACAAAATTTAATGTAATATACACAAATCAGACTTTTGCTCTGAAGGGGAAACTACAATTTTCTAGGAATCAAAACTGCAATCTGTGTGTGCTGTACATTGGAACATAATTATTAGATACCTTCTCATAATTACAATTTAGGAATTATAGTTAGCTGGATGACTGAAAAAGATGCTTTTCTAACCAAAGTCTGGGATATCAAAAGTGAGTGAGGCACAGATGATTAAATTAAATTTAAACTTAAAGCACATACTGTGCAATAGTGGAATTTCCCCTGGCAATGTTACGGAGTTCCATTGTTGTGCTTGTTCGCATGCACCTTAAACGCGTATTTTTATTTTGGAAATATTGTTTTAATGTCAGAAACTTGCAGTTTGTTTTTACAAGTATAAAAGTCTTGAATGCGATGAAACTGGGACGGTAACAAGTGTTACGGAATATGGGTAATATAGAAGTAATTAGTTACGAAGAAAAACGCCGAAGTTTACGAAAAGTCGCTACAAATTTATGAAGAAAATGCTTTCATTCAATATTCCATGTGATATTCGCTGAAATTACTACGGTAACTAATTGGAAAAGTGATGTAACTGATGTTGCAGTGCTAGGTGCTTTCTGCTAGGTATTTTTACGGGTGTCGGGTCAAACTTGCTCACTTGCTAACTACTACAGTAAGTATGCGTGTATACGTCAATCTGGAGTTGAAAGATTTGTTTTATTTTCGTGAAAGACCAATTGCAACCTATATAAGGTATGGGCAGACCGGGCTCAAACCCGGGGGCACGATGGTGTAAAAATTGTAATTTAAAATGCTAATAGGACTCGTGAATTTATGGTAACCACCATAAATTTATAAGTCGCGGTACTGTAGTCTGATATTTAACAATTATTTACCTTATATAGTTATAGTAGTTACTTAAGGTAGGACTAAAATAAAACAAATGACGCTGTCTAAAAAATAGGTTCTACATTTATTTTTTTCGGGGGAGGGGGAGGATGCGTTTCAGCATTGCCCCGTCCCCAAAATGATCCACTTTCGGCACAGGGAATGGGAGGAAAAGGTGTGATCTGCCCATATTTTTTTCCCTCCCTTCTACGTATAGGGCTTTTCTACGTGCTTTTGTCTCTAGAATTTGCAATATGGCGAACATTCGGTCCTACCAAGTTAGAAAATGTAAATGACATTAGGCTTTGGCGCTACATTCAAACATACGCATTTCGAGAAGTCATAAAGAACTCTCATTATAACGTGAATTTTAATCTAGTGAATGTTTTGATACGTGAAATAATTCTCATTTAGAACAATTATTTTGATATTCTTCTGAAACTCATAATGCTAAAATATGAAAAGTTTACTCTTTTACTTCATTGTAAAATAAAAGTATAATTATAGAACTTGGAGGAATCAATTAACAAATTATTCTTACAAAGGTTGTGAATAAGTATACAGAATGAACGAAAGGAACATTTTAAAAAATGGGATATATCAGAGTACTTCTTTAATTTTATTTGCCAGTGTTTTATAATTTCCCTGGTCCTACTATAAGTTATTTTATCTGAACATTCAAGAGTGAAAATGTAAAGATAAAGAATTAAAACACTACTTTTTTTCCCCCAGGTAAATTTCACAATAATTACATATAGGCATTTTTCCAAAAAATCTGGATATACCCTGCCCCTGTTCAGATGTATAATAAATTTGTTTTCACAATCTACCCCATCTCTATATTCATCCATAATTTTGTCAGCATGATCCACTACCCTTTTCCAGTTTGTGTTTGAAGCCTTAAAAAAATGTAAGTAATGTATTCATAACACTTTATTTAATTTAAGGCATTTAACAACATTTTCCTTGTGGTAAATGTGTTAAAGAATGTAGATAACTAAAATTCCTACTCTAAAAGCCTGCTTTCAAAAATTTTTGGTCTTTTCCATTCCCTGGCAACTGGGGCAGATCCATGGGGGATGAGGGGAAATTTCCCCACCCAAAAGTTTTCAGTAACAATTTATTTTAACTTGCCACTAAACCTTCAGACAAAAACATTTTTGTATAAACATTGAAACAAATAAAATTGTATAGCAACAAGAGCCGAGTTTACCCTGTGTCGTTGTACATTAACTGTAATGACATATTCGACCAAAAGATTTTGAGTAAATAAATTTCCCCTCCCAATATTGGTTTCTGGATCCGCCCCTTTGGCAAGATATTGTAAGGACATTCTTACTGAAGTAGCCCTTTGTCTGCGACCACACATACTCATTTTGATTGAATGTGCTATGATAGGGAGTAAGACTTCAAACAGTGTGCCCTTCAGCTCCCAGTATTTCACCAACTGCACACCTGTGGTGTAATTATATTTTACACTTTAAACAGATTAATTTATACAAACATTTTAATAGAATATATGAAGGTAAATATGAAAAAATTACAATGAAAGAATACCTATATGCTGCATTCACCATGTATCCTGACAATAAATACAGATTTTTAAACTCTCACATTTTGCTCAAAAATGTTAGCAGTATTGGTCTCATTTAACTTATGATATTTATATTTTAGATCTGCTCATGTACTTTCTGATCAGACGTAATAATACAACTTTTTTCTCATTGTGTACTACATACTCCTTTTTGGGCCAACCACGAGTGAAACTATTTAAAAAAATTAATTTTCTGTAGTCTAGCACAACGAACACAGGACATTGAAAATTAAAATAAAATAAGCTCATCCAGCAAAGGTTGACAGACTTGAGTTTTGTACACCTATCCTTGAATCATTTCTAGTTCTTTAATTAACATATCAATAAATACATGAAAGAATTATATTTGTAAAAATAGAACTCGTAAAAGTAAAAACTATAAAAAATGTATCTACAAATGTACAAGTAGGCAATCAAAACATTAACACATGTTTTCACAAACTGTCGAAAGGTCATACTATATATACCCCTACTCAACACCCCTATAATGCGTTCACAGAAAATTAAAAGAATATTAACATTATCAAATAAATGTAAAAAGCATATAGTTTTCCTACATCTTATGATGAATTCATGAAGAATAAATGAGATGAAAGAGAATAAATGTTGGCAATAGAATCAGTTCAAAATTTAGAAAAACATTGACAAAGCAAAAAACAATTGAAATTTTAAATACATTTTTAAAGGAAAAAGTCAGAATTGTGATTGTAATAAAATCTCCAGGCGTATAAAATTTTAGGACTGGGCTAGTATATGGTACAACTTACGGAAGTCGTTTAAACCGCCACTTCGCGCCGCTCCGGCATTAACTTGGCAGTTCGAATACTGGAGGCTTTCTTGTAAAGTGATTTTTTATAAAATAGAATAGGTAATTATGCGCTGAATAGACTCATGGATGTTTATAGTGAACGCGAGGGCCGGAGGCCCGAGCCTCGCCGTGACTGGAATTCGAATTTCAATTTTAAATATAGCAAAGCACTCTTATATTTTTTTGTCTCACCTGAGACTAAATTCTCTTTTGTCTTGTGTAAGACTAATCTGTGTATACAGTAATAAAATATAATATGATGTAACATAATGTAATGCCAAAGCAGTGACTTGTTATAATTTTTTACAAACAGTATCGTATTAATATTACATGTATTATGCATTTTGTATACTGTAATAAAAATACATTATACTTGCATATACATGTAACGTTATTATTATATAATAATCATATATTTGTATATTTCTACATTAATACTATATAATAGTTTTACATAACATAATATATGTTTACATAGTGATTACTATCTTACATTTGAAATACTAAATATATTTTTGCTAGAGTGGGAAAGTACCAATGAATGTAATCAGTAATTAAATGTTTGAAGTAATGTAAATTCCGTAAGATTTATTGAAAATTAATTGCTAGAGCACTGTCTTGTCATAAGTTTGAAACAATTCTCATTGACATATTACAATTGCTCTTACTGTTAATACAAAAATAATGCCCCTTAATAATCATCATCTTTTCCCCTACAAACTATATCCTTTGTCCGATTTTCGAAACAAATTTCATTTCTTTCAAAATTCTGTACAAAGAAGGTTAAGATCCTTGCAAAAAGTAGGCATCATAATTGCCTCTGATATTGTCCCAAATTTCTTTTCTGAAAGAACTTTCCCTGTAAAGTAAGTTTCATATTACAATATCTATCTACACTCGTATTGCATGTTACCTTCATGAGCTTTTTCATATATGAATCTGGCAATTGCTTTCTTCCCAAACTTTTCTTATCTGATTAAGAACTGACTTCGCAGTACTGAAAGAATATTGTGAAGTCAATATGAACTGCATTTTAGAGATTCATATACATGTGATGTTAATTTATTCTATAAGGCTTCACTATTAAAACAAACAATGTGAATTGAAATACGTTCAATTACCGTATATACTTAAATTCACAATTTATCGATATTAACGGAAAATATGCAAAATATATGCATATATGTAGTAATGCAAATAATCTCGTCCTTAGTGCGAAAATTGAAGATAATGTTACATTTCATAACCATCTTACCTCAAATAAAAATGCCACTACACATGTACGTTCGGAATCAATCTTATCATCTTTTCTCTTCTATATTCGCTTTCGAATTCCCTAATACAGAAATAACAATGTATCTTGCTGTACTATTTAATATTAATATTAAATACTATTTTTATGCGCAATTTTAACACGCTTACCTGGAATTGTTTCAAATATCTCGTTTAGAACGAGAAAAACAAACAATGCAAAGAGAATATCACACCAAACTGCTAAATTCAATAAACAAAATTGTCAAAATG